CCAAAATTATCTTATGGCTGTGCTTGATAACACAAAGTTTAAGCATATGATAGCATATGTGCTTCTTTTGCAAGGGGTTATCACCACCCCCACACCAAGAATTCCTGTACGAAGCATGCGTTCTCCATTCAATCTCCTGGCAGTATTTCGCTATTGATCTCCGAAACAGCATGTAGGTGACACGATAAAATCAAATTGAAACATCTCACAAAGTACCGGTAAGACACCATTTCAGGTCGCTCAACTGCACTTTACTGCTCTCATTTTGTGCTGCACAGATACAAAAATACTGTGCCATGTTTGGTCATGTTCCAAAGGCAATCGAAAGTGCAATCGACTTGCATGCTGCTGCCAGTCGCTTAAATAGAACAGCTGTACTGCACCCCATGTGTGAGAAAAGAGCTTGCAAATTGGCCATAGATGTGGTTGTACTGTACCACGTTATGCCTGGTATGGGAGTTTCATTGTTTAATGTCTATATCCTTGGTATACCCTGCCTTCCCCAGCTGTCCAGTAGAATGTGACCATTGAACACCTCCAGGTGTACGTACTTTGCAGATGTTGTGAATTGGGCAGACATGGTGTGCGTCCTTGGACTTCCACTACGAGCAAGCATTGGCTTCGTCTTTCAGAGCCCACCCGCTTCGGGTGCAGAAGAGGTCATTCAAGTCCTACTCATTTTTGTTCTTCCCTTGTTCCGATTTCTCAAACTACTGCGGTACTTTGAGATCAGCAGGCTTTTGGTCGATGCGTGTGTGAAGTCAGCCGAAGCAGTGCCAGTCCTTTCTTACATGATGACTCTCATCGTGTTGGTCTCAGCGACTTTCATCTATTTGTTCGAGGAGAAGAGCAACATCCCAAGCATGCCCCATGCCTTGTGGCTGGCCGTTGTAACCATGACCACGGTCGGCTATGGCGACTTCTTCCCAACATCAGTGGGAGGCGCACATCGATGTCGCACGTGGCTGATGTTGGACCTCAGTGTTCTGAAGTTCATAGCAACCCACTGAGATTTTGCTTGCACTTTCAACAAATATGGCTCGCCTGCTAGAGGACTCTGTTTGACCGTTGAGGACTTCCTGTACTGAATTACAGTTTCTATCTAAGTTTTGAGGAGGGTAACTAGAACTTACCCATTTCACCCATGTCTGCTCTATTCCCAACTCTTGGTTTAAATTCTGAAAACAATCTTGTTGCCGACACCTCGCCAACAGATTGAACCCAAAGTTCTAGCTCTTAGTTCACATATCGAAATGGCGCTGGGCATGTCTTTTGCATAGCTCCTTTCTGCATAGCTCCGATCTTTTGATCCGATCCCCTGGGCCCTGAGGCTATTTGACGGTCTCAGTGCTCACCTTCATCAGCGTGGTCTTCTTGGCGCTGCCCGTGGGCATCGTCGGCCACGAGCGCCTTGGAGCCACGAGCGGGTGTTTTGGACAAGATGAAGTGCATGTTGGTGGTGTTTAGAGTATACATGAGTAGACTAATATCCTGGAAATCAACATGGTACATTTTTTCAGAAAAAAACACTCGGAATGGCTGATTTGTTATTTGTTTGTAGCCTATGGCTAAAAGTGATCCCTCCTGCATCTCCAAGACTCACGTGGCGCAAATCCTTGATTGGAGTTATCTCACCTCAGTGTTTTTGCTTAATTGATGTTATTAATCAAAACGGAGCATGCCAATCCTTCGACCACCAACATCTTTGTTCAGTCCTAAGAAAACCATATTGTCGTGTTCAAGTCTAAATCCCTGTGAAATTGTACCCGTTTGTTGTACTTTGACATCGTGTGTGATGAAGCTCCAAAGTGTGATCCACCTGCACGAACTGCCTGAACGCAGAGTTTCAACAGGTTCTTCGGGGTGGTTCTTGGAGTACATACTTTTGGGACGGCAAGCTTGAAGACAGGTACGATTGGAGGTGGCTATTAACTGATAGACTGACAACGGCTTCATGTTGCGTCTTTTAAGATAACGCTATTGGACCAATACACAAGTCATTGTCTTTGTTGTATTTCAACATACGTGGCTGCCAGTTGCTCCATGACATCTCTGCCAACGCCAATATAGCAGATCTCAAGTTTTTTTGAAAATCGCCTTCAGTGCTTGAAAGACTCTATCACTTGTGGACCTAGCGTTGCAAACGAAGTCTGGATTTTTGCTCAATCTAAACTCAGGTAAGCAGCAGCACTATTTGCAAGTATATTTGTTGGGTCATCTTGTTTCACAAACCCAGCACCGTGCTAAACTGAAAATGATAAGATGCTGTTGAAGAGGATGAGGAGCAACCAATGGCAAACAATGAAATTGTGATCAGGATGGCTAACTCTCAAATCAGTAGTGTGCGAAGCAAAACAACCAGCTAGCCTGCTGATCATCCGAGAAGTGCCTTGGGCCAGGACGGGTGATCAAATCCAAGTGAAGGTATTGAAGTAGTCGCAAGAATTAAGCGTGTGTTCCTTCGCCCTTAAGAGTCCACATATTTGTTCCTTGTAGTTTGTACCAGTCCGTGTGAAGCAAACACCTCACGAACAGTCCGTGTAGAGTTTGGAGTAGACAAAGGCTGGCAAACCCAAGTAGCACCTCTGAGCCTGAAGCGTGCGCAAGCGCACCCAGAATGGCTAAGCCGGAGGTGAAAACGGCACCCCAGCGCCCAAAATTTGGAGGGTGAGAAGCTACTAGTAACAAAGGGCATCACTACCAGGATCAAGAAGCTACTAAGCTCCCAGCATTTCTACTAGTAACAAGAACGGAGGCTAATTTCCCTCTGCAGAACTCGTAGCGTTAGCCAAGGCTAAAAAATGGGCCCTTTCGGAGAGCCTGGTACACATATATTATATTGTACATACCCATACGTAGACCATACTAGTATGCCCCGTATATTAGTATCTCCCCATAATTGTATGTGTATGCTATGCCTACGACATGATTGGCATGTCAATGTCAGTGAATTCTAGCATGAACTTGCTGTTCCGTTGATTCCTAGGATTGTTGTTTAAACATTTCAAGCTTGAAGAAAGAACACAAGTGCGGACCTACTTTGTTTAGTACGTCATTTCTCATAGCATGCCTTTTGGACGGTCCCAGACCACCAACCGCATCGCCTTCCGAATGTTGTTCAGGCCTTTTTGTTCAAGCCATTGTTTACTTTTTGTAAAATGGCGCGCCGTGAGGTTCAACAAATCGTGGCAAAGTCGAGCCCACATGCTGTTGATGACCCGAGTCCGGAAATGCCTCAACAAGTGGGGCTTCAATGCTGGTGATGTGCAGATGTTGATTCAATATGCAGATGTCGATGGTGATGGCCAGTTGACCTTGGGTGAGTTTGTGGAGCTGATTCGACAGATGCGAATTGGCGTCAGCAGTGAAGCAGCCGCCGAGCTTTTCACGTTGCTGGATGTCGACTACAACGGCTACGTGGACAGTGAGGAGTTCCTACGGAACGTGTTCCCAGATGAGTATGTGAAGGAGATCCAGCGTGCCCAATTCTTAGCCTTGCCCGAATGCAAGAAGCAGATTCATAGTGCTCTTGTTCGTTTAGACTCTCTCCGCTCCGCAGTGGGCGATCCGGCGACAGGGAGACCCATGACGTTTCACACCCCAATCGACAGCGAGGAGGACACAAATTCCAAGAGATCCTTTAAGGAAGAACCCTTGGAAGAGCCAGAAAAGCTGTTCCACGAACCTTTGTGACGAACGACTGACTAGACTTTATTTGGCTACTAGCCAATGCAGCAACGCTGCCGACTGAATTCACCAGAACTGCGAAAAGGGGCGGTTGTGGGGCATGTGTGTGAAGGATTATGTTTCTTCGGATCCAAATTTTGTGTTATATATTACAATAGATCTTTGATCTTTGATATTTCATTGTGTTATTATGTTCTATTGATGCTTCTTGGGTGTTTCTTCGGTGTTTGGGGCGGAAACAACGGTGGAAGGTCTTCCTTTTCTTGTCGTCGCTCGCTCGATCTCGATCTCGTCACAAGTCGATGCCTCGCGACGTCAAGTGAGCGAGCACGTTGCCTTGTTGTGCCGGTTCACACGTGCCGTGCCGGAAGTTCGCGTTCTCACTGATTAGCTCTCAAGGTGGCAACGTTATCTATTTTCAGGTTTGTTGGAGAACTCAACATGGCTTGTTGGCCACTGGTTGGTCACGCCACAGGGATTTGGCGTTTCTCGCTGTAATTAGGCATCAACTGCTGTCGGCTGGCAAGGAGCTGAGATGCTGAGTGGGGAAGAGAGATTTTTGAGTGACTGGTGAGAAACAGTATGTCCTCTGCAAAATTGTTTGCCCTGCCGTTCTCCCTGGAGTCATTCGCTGGGTATCGTAATAATTATGCCATGCGTCAGGAGAGACGCTGTTCCTGCCTCAGTGCGGAGACCTTTCGACAGCTCTGGTCCTCCGAGCGAGGTTGGGATTGCCGACTAGCTCGTGAGGCCGGGTGAGGGATTTAGGCTCGAACACCCGGGGTGACACTCAGCGATGCGACTAGGTGACATTTGTTTGTGATGCGACTAGATCGATCGGCTCCGTCTGACGGAAACACGGTCCAGTGTTGGAGCTGCTTTGAACTTCACAGATGGAATTTGGGTGTCCATGGTGGCCATGTGGAACTTGGAGATTACTTAACTTAGTAGTGAGTATGGTTGCACACTTCAATTCAGTGTCTTGGCTGCCTTGGCTTCAGGCAATGGATTCGTCGGCAAAAACCATCAATGGCTACAGCAGGAACACGTCACATGTCCTTGGCCAGCTGAGTGTGTTTGGGGAGATTGACATGGGAAGCCGCGTTGTTTTCAATTGGAGCGATCTCGGCATTGTTTCTATACAGTCAGGACGCAATGTTTTGTCACAATTTCGGAGAAGTCTTGCTCTTCGCCCAGCAAGCAAGCCAAACCTTTGATTGACCACACCCACCCCTGAAGTTTGTAACGAGAGCTACTTGATTTGTTTCGTTGTGTCTCTTTTCTTCGTTGTCATCCCCTAAGCAGCGCCCGCCATGGCACTCTCCTTGGGCACCCGAGTGGTGCGCAACTCAGCATGTGGGATGACTCGCCCAGCGTTACTCGTGACGGTGGAACAGCAACACCACATGTGTCACCCAGTGAAACTGAATCATGGAGGCTTTAGGATGCTTGAGGCGGTACGTTCTTTACTGGGATGAAGCATGCCATCAGTTGCAAAGCGAGCTGCAAAAAAGAAACACTGAAACTGAAGGGCCCTTGGTTGTGCGAGGGTCAACCAGCGTCCCCAGATTTTGACCCAGAGCCGCAAATCTTGCAAACCATTTCAAATCAGTCGAACCGTTTCGTCGCGGTTCGGTTCGCAGATCTGGTTAGGTTCCAGAACCTCTCGTTTGTTCAAATGTCCAGTTTTTATTACGTAATGCTTTTCCAACGGCAGCTGCGCAAGGCTCACCAAAGCTAAACACAGAGATCAGGAAGGGAAAAACAGTTCAAGAAAGCCCTTTAAGATCCTTTAAGGGGTTGCACGGCTAAACCCAGATAATTCATGCCAGGGCGAACGATGTTCATGAGTACGATGCGGTGCTTGTACAGTATATGTCAAGGCTTTGACAGACAAAGAACTCTTGGGGCAGGGGAGCCGTTTCACATTATTTTGGAATACGTTGTAATGGCTTCGAGGCTACTGTTGCACTCCTTGGATGTTGCACCTTGCGCCGTGTGCTTGAGGTCTGCAGATTGCCGATGGCAATGCCCTTTTCTATGTATATTGGTAGTTCAATACCTCATGTTGTGCCTCACTTCAAGCAGTTCCCTCACTTCAAGCCGTCTCCAGTCCAGCCGAAGTCCGTTGCAAGCCAGTTCGGCACCATGTGCGTCAGGTAGTGCAACGAGGACGTTCTGAGGGCACCAGAGGAGTCACTTGGAGTGTGAAAGGAGGGCAGTGGGAGAGTGCAGTTCTTCCCATTCCCCGCCCAACACATTGCAGAAATGGGTTCGCTACTAGGGGCTCCTGGCATCGCTACTAGGGCCTCCTGGCCTTACTACTAGGAGCAAGGACTATTTGCACCCTTTTTGTTGAAGTGTCCTTGCAAAAGCACCTTTGACACGAGGCAAAATGAGGCCATGAGGTGTCCCATTTGATCGGACCCTGGGTGATCCTATATTATAGTAGTATGCTGGATGGTATTTAGTTGCGAATGTAAGCATATTCAAGAACGCTTTGCAGGAGTGTGAGGTTGTCATCGTTTGCACAAACAGCCAGGAGAAGGGACTTGAGTTAGCTGGCGTCAATGATGTATGATGTACAAAAGCTATTGTTTTGTGTATATACACCAGGACGACTTACTCCGTTTGATCTGCGAAGGTCTGCTTGAACCTACGGTGACCCGCAGGGTGCAGCCGCAGGTCGTCTTGGATATCGACCGAGATGCGGGCTGCTGCAAAGTGGCCTTCGATGAGAATCCATCAGTGCCGGGCTTTTGGGCAGTCCTGGGCATGAGCTGACTTTCACAAAGAGTGGAATAATATCATAGGGGAGAGTCCTACTGTTGAAGCGAAACATTGACAATAAACATGAAACAGTTGAATCCATTTGAAATCCCCTGTCCCACTTGGTTTCGATTTGTGGATATACATCCTGTGAATATATGGGGCAGGTGGCTTGTTCATTTCATATTTATAATCTATTTATAGTATTTTTGACCCCTTCACTGTGCAGTGTCGGGTCCAATCCGGTGGCCGATTCTGCAACGCCGAAACATTGCGCATCAAGGCATGACAGGCCCCATCTCAGACTGCATTACCTGGCAAAGGATTCTGGAGAAATCAGGGGGTAGGGCCAGGTACGGCATTCTCTTTGATCGCATTTTGGGCGATCTCGCGATGTGGCGGGACTCGTGCAGCGCCTTCCAAGCCATGTGCCCGTTGACCTTTCAGGTGCCTGCCAAGGTCGCCATCCGCCTTCCCAGCCTGGTCTTGGGAAGCAAACCAACAATAGAAGTTGTCTAACCGTGTAACTTTGCGAAACTGATGATTTGTTTGCAAAACGTGAGGAGGCAAACCTTTGCTGTGCAATGCCAGCCGACATTCAGTGTCATTCCATGTGAGTCGGCGACTGCTCTTTCGAACGTTGGCAATCTCAAGGCTTTGTGTCAGCTGCAGAGGAACATCGGTCGACATCTCTTTGCATCCAAGCTTTGTTGGTGGATTCAACCAACTGACTCCCCTTGCCAGGGCATTTATCGCCTGATCTGGATAGCTACCGATCCACCTTGTGGTATTCGCAGGACAGGCCCTTCGGATGATCGGGTCCCCGTCGCATCAGAGAACTCACTGAATCATTGACAGGAAAGCCCAAAAGCCCGAACTTGTCAACATTCAGCATTTGGTGTGATAGCAATAGGCAGTAGTTGATGTGGTTGTCCAATGGGATTGTCTTTCAGGTGGTTGTGGCAGGACTTCTACTTTCTGCAGGCCATGCCTAATCTACATATTGATGCTGTCATCCAGTCTTCATCCTGCTGCGGCCATTGCAGTGATCCAAACCCGCGAGTGCTATTCTGCTAGCACTCTTGCTGGTGCCTTGCCGCTGCTCAGGACAAACTACTTGACGTCCGATCGGATGAGGCGAGGATGTCGTCAGACCAACTTGCAGGTTGTGTCGTCAGAGACAAAATCATGTGCTCTTGGTGGGTTGATGGATCAACAGATATCAACAGATTCATCCATCATCATTAACCTCTTTTGTATGCTTTTGTTTGATTCATCAAATCCAGATGATGAGACAAGATGAACAGATGTTTATGTTGTTCAACAAGGAAACCCAGTGGGTCCCACGGACCCACGGACACGGCTCCCTGCGATGTTTTTCGGTCACCAGCCCTGCCCTGCTGTGTTTTGGACACTCCGTTGCTCCAGGAGGTGCTCCTTGGCATTCTGTACTCCTAGACGGTCTATCTATTTCAACTCCACATCGATTATTCACATGCATATATAGTATATGCAGCATAGATTATGTATGTATGCTGTATGAATCTGTATGATGTACGAATATGATTTTTGTTGATATTGTCAAATTGTTGTAGCTGTGTTTGCAGTCGCTGGGTGAAATCCCCCAATCAGACCCAAAGGGCTTTGATTCAGCAGCTAGATTACATCAAGGCAGCCATCACCCTACGCTTCACTCCCACATGTGGACACCCCAAGCAAGATCAAGCAAGACTCTCCAGAATCTTCAATTTGATCCTTTCAGGCAGAATTATGAGTGCATCAGGGAAAACCCCGTGCAAGCACTCATGTTTTGCAGTTGAAGGTCATGCCATGAAGGTATGAAGGTGACAACATGTCACATCGTCGAAGACCCTTTTTATGCACAGAAAAGCCTGCTCCGCTCCTGCAGGTTATGAGCCCAGCGCAAGGACGTTGAGTGATTTTCGAAGTCCACCACCTGAGGTCAGGTGTGTTGGTCCCCATGGCGAATCCTTTCTGGTCTAAGGACCTCCAGGAAAAGATCGAGCTTCAGGCAGCGCGGCCAGGTGACCTTCCTGTGGTGCCGGATAAGTCCTCGTCGGAAGAGCTGCGGTCAGCAAGTGGCCAGTCCATGGACCAGGAAGAGCAACCCCTGGAAGATGGAGAGTCCGAGGAGGACCAAAGGCCGGCGCTTGGAGGTCGATATGAAGAAGAAACATGTGGTGCAGCGGCCTGCAATCAGTGCAGAGATGGCTGAGCGGCTGGGCATCAGCATGCAAGCAGCTGAGAGGCTAGCAATCGGTGCAGTGACGCCTGAAGAGCCTGCAATGAGTGCGGTGGCGGCTGAGGGGTCAGCAATCAGTGCAGAGACGACTGAAAGGCTGGGCCTTAGCGTGCCGGCAGCTGAGAGGCTGGCGGCTGGTGCACGGAAGACGGAGAAACCTCGGTCCGGAAAAGGTGGGACGGGCGCCATGAAGGGTGAGGTGCAGATCACTCCAGGGTGGCCTACAGCGGCGACATCGTCTATGCAAGATGGAGTTCCAATGCCACCGACGAGCTGGCTGGAAAGAGATCGGAACCATGAGAAGTCACACCAACATCATGGAGAAGGACATCGTTCCCGTGAACACCGACGAACCCCACGTGGACGTCATCAAGGTGATGGTGGAAGTCGGTGGAAGTGGAGACCTACAGCGGGCCTTAGAAGCTCAGGTCGTTGAAGAACTTCGCCGTCAGAATGAAGACCTGAGGCTGCAGGTGGCGGCCTTGCAAACTGCATCCACTAAGATGAAGGCGGCAAAGAAAACAGCTGAGCCGGCCCTGGAGAAGTCCCCGAAGATGTTCACACCGATGGAAGTGACTGGTGATGCACGACGGACACCAGGGGGAACTCAAGTCCCTCGTGGAACACCTCCTGACGTGGACATGAACAACGGATCAAGAGCGGCAGCTGAATTGCCACCTGTACTACTGTGGCCAATTGAACCCTCAATGCCAGGAAAGCGCACCCATGATGAGAGCTTCTGGAAAATCTTTGAGAGTGGTCAAACGGTGTGGAAAAACTATGATGTCAACAAACCATACCAGGGTGAGACCGTGGGAGCTGGTGGGGGCAGTGGACCTGTTTGACAACATCATCTACACGGACCTGGAGAACGTGAAGGCGGGGCCTGTCCCTGACATGAACTACCTCTTCAACATGATGGTGATGGTCATGTGAGAAGGGAAGCCCGAGGTGGATTGGAAGCTCGCAGAGAAAGTGGACCGGACATCGCTGATGAACAGTTCGACAAGTCGTGGATTGGGACGGCAGCGAACTACCAAGCAGTGAGGATGCAGTGGCTGGAACGGGAGCGAACTGCGTGGCCGCATCCAGCTGTTTTCCAAGATGCCAGCACTATATCCAGTTATATATGTACATATGTATAAACCTTTTTCAAGGCCTAGCTTTAACAAAAACCTTTCTCAAGGTCTTGGTGCAGAGCCCTTTTCGGAGGGTTATCCTTTTTCAAGGTCACACCCTTTGCCAAGGGCTGCTTCCAGCCTTTTGCAAGGAATACCTTTTGCAAGGAGTGATTTATGCCCTTTACCAAGGGCTGCTTCCATCCTTTTGCAAGGAACACCTTCTGCAAGGATGAATTTGCGCCCTTTATTACGGGCTGCTTCCATCCTTTTGCCAGGAACACCTTTTGCAAGGATTGATTCATGCCCTTTATCCAGGGCTGCTTCCATGCTTTTGCAAGGAACACCTTTTGCAAGGATTGATTCATGCCCTTTGTCAAAGGCTGCTTCCTTTTGCAAGGTTCGTGCCCTTTGACAAGGGCTGCACCCTTTTGCAAGGGTGAGCAAGCGCTTCACCCTTTGGCAAGGATGTTTGGCAACAGCATCTCAAGGGTAGGCTGCCACTAGCTCCTCTCTCATCTTCAAGACCTCTGCTTTGCTGAGGCTGTCCTTTTCCAAGGCTTTCATGATTTTGTTCCAGATCAAGTCATGCTGAGAGCTCCAAGTGGCTGGAACCTCCACAATAAGCTTCCTTGGATGGCCACTCCCTGGTGCCAAGACACCTGTGATACATGTTCTCTTGCCTCACTCCCTTTCTCAACGGGCCTCTTTTGCCCTTTTGCAAGGGCCTTTGCAGAAGCTTTCCCTTTTGCAAGGGCCTTTGCAGGGGCTTTGCCATCACTTTTCCCTTTTGCAAGGGCCTTTGCAGAGGCCTTCTTGCCCTTGCGTTTCCCTTTTGCAAGGGCCTTGGCAGCAGCTTTGTCACCCTTCCCTTTTCCAAAAACCTTTGCAGAGGCATTGTTGCTCTTGCCTTTCCCTTTTGCAAGGGTTTTGCAGGAGCCTTCCCTTTTGCAAGGGCTGCTGCTGGCTCAGTGGTACCATATCCCAATGCCTTTTGCAAGGCCTGGGAGCTATGTCCTGGTGCCTTCCCTTCTGTTGATGAAGGGTTTTGGTCTGGAGGAGGAGCTGCCTGCTTTGTCTGTGCAAAAGACCAGAGGCACACCATGAGAATCCACAGAAATCTCATCACCACCTTTTCCCTTGTGCAAGGGCAGCTTTGCAGCAATGTCCTTTTTCAAGGCTTGCCCATTTTCCAAGGAAGCTTCCCCACCCTTTTCCAAGGGCTCCTCCTCCTCTGGCAAGGTCACCATGGCAATGGCTTCCTGTAGGGAAGTGTAGGATGAACCATTGAGCTTTGCAGCGCAACTTCTCATTTGGTCATTGTCCCTCTTCAACCGCCTCACATGAGCAAACAGGGTGGTCAGCCTCTCAGCCTTCAGGCTGCTCCATGTGCTGCCGTTGAACTTGCCTCTGGCGTGGGGGTGACGACCCTCCCAGCAGGGTCCACAGCACCTTGCTTGTTCCTTCTCTCATAGGATCCTTGATCAGCCAGCAAGTCCCCATGGTTGCCCATCACTTGCAGCAGCAAGGATGGGTCTACGTAAGCCTTGGCTTTGCGCCTGGCCCCACCTCTGGACATTCTTGCTTCCCTACTTGTTCACACTCTCACAGCCAAAACTGCCAAGTGAAAAGGGGTGTCCAAAATCAACATCCAAATCAAGATCAAAAATCAATATCAAAGTCAACATTTACATCATATTTTGGAAGGGAAATGGCGCATCAAAATCAACAGAAAACACCAAAACCAAATCAATAGAACATATTGATTTTTGATATTGATATTCAAGGCAAATCAATATCAATTTTTTCATAGGAAACTATTGATTGGAAACATCAATATCATTTTTTTTCATAGGAAACTATTGATTGGAATCAATATCGGATGCTCAGGGTACCTGAAGAAGGTTCGCATCAAGCTGCACTTCGATGTGGTGACTGGCTGGCTGAAATTACACCGCTGGGGGCGGATGTGGAGCCAGCTCATGGGGGGGTGTGGGTCAGGTGTACAAGTGTACAAGAGATGGTTGGCTTCTGAAAGCCTGACGCCTGGAGGGCAGTGTGGCATCTATGCCATCTATGCTCCTTGCGGCGCAGAAATGGTGGCAGCTCGCAAACTCACAGCAGGCGCCATCATCTTGGAGGTGCTGAAGCGATATCAACCTGGCGGGCTGTCGGAAAAGAGTGCGCTCTTGAAGAACCTGCAGGCGCTATCAACGGCCGTCAACGCGATTGATGCGGTCGAGAAACTGAGGACTTGGAACAGGAACATCGTGAGGGCAGGAGAGCTGGCAGTGATGCTTCCTGATCCAGTACTGCAAGTATACATGCTTTGGACTCCATGGTCATGTCCTTGCGAAGGAACCGCAGGTGTCGTTCCGAATCCAAAGGTGGCGACATCAACTTGGCCTGGATGTCAAAGCTGACCAAAACATTGTGACACAGTTTGCACTGTTCTTGCAAGCTGAGATGACAACGATCTCCCTCACAACGTCGGTGGCAGCCAAGGAGAATGTGGAGTCCAAGGTGAAGCAGCTCCAAACGACCTCGATGTCTTCTGTGGCAGCACGACCGTGCAAGTTCCGGGCAACAGCAGCCGGATGTACGCGGGGAGCCAAGTGCAAGTTTGGTCACTCGTGGGAAGGGGTGGAGGACAAAGGCCTCTCGCTGCTGGGAGTCTGCAGCATCGCAAGAGCGCGTAGGCTGACACCAAGAAGGGCACCAAGAAGGAGGGAGCCAAAGCAAAGGAAAGGGCAAGTCATCGTGTGATGCACCCAAAGTTCAAAAGGTTGACACCGGAAACAACCAATACCTCAACCACTGGTGGAACAGCTGCAATGCCAGCTGGGCGGAGTGAGACTGCTACCAAAAGAGGGGAGGACACTTCAATTTTGAGGAGCTATAGAGCAAGTTCGCAGTCGGCAGCGTCAAATGGTGAAGAAAAGGAACTCCTGGGGGAGGCACATCGCTGCTGAGAGCTCAACCTACGGCCACCAACATTGCGAGCATCATTGCACGTGTGTCCCAGGAGGGGTGTGGGGCGCTCTTAGACTCAGGAGCCACGCACATCCTCAGGAATCCAGCATCCAGTCAGGAATGGGAGACAGGCGCACGTTTACAAACTGGCCTGAGGTCGTGCAGGTGCTGGAGAAAGACCTCCAACTCAAGAAGATCACCCTGGACCAAGGTGCATGTGCGGCACCGTCGGAAGAAACCAACATGCTTGTGGACTTCAATGAGGGAAGTCGCAATTCTGGATGGAGCTCGTGATCTTCGACCAGCAGTTCCATGGCCTGAGAACATTGAAGACGCCCTACAGGAGTCAAAAGATTTGGCATGTCGGGCGGATGGACTGGAACAGCGTGTGGTTGATGCAGCTTGGCGCGAGTTGGTGTTCATGCCCATGAATATGTGGAGTGGTACAACCACCTGCTGCAGGGGCACGCGCCGGCAAGGCGGGATTGCCTTGAGTGTCTCAGAGGTGCTGGACGTGATCGCCCACGACTTCGCTAACCCTGAAGCCTATGCCATGTCCCTGGATATTGCAGGACCATTTGAAGCGGGCCAAGATCAAGATCAAGGCCACCCAAGGTACTTCCTGGTCTCCACTGTCACGATTCCCTTTGCTGAGGAACGACCCCTGATGTGGGGATGGCGGCCTGGACAAAACTCTCAGCCTGACAGGGAACCCGCGACTGAGGACATTCTCCAGGACGAACTGCCAAAACTCCAGGATGACGCAGATGACAACCCGTTTAAAGGGGATGACGCAGCCCACATCACGGAGGAGGAGATCGCAAAGAGGGACTTCGCCTTGGAGGTTGAGAAGTTGAAGGACACGAAGGTCAAGCATTTGACGTTGGCCATGCCATTGCTCAACCGAAAAGAAGGCAACGTCATCCAAGCAGTTGCAAAACTGTATGCTCGCTTGCTTCAAGGCATTGCAGATCCCCGTCCTGAGAACCCTAAGGATCCGAGAAGCTACTTTTCATAGCTGGCAGCCACTTTTGGAGAGCCTCCTAGAAGCGGGCAGCAAAGATTCTTAGCTGGCAGCCACAAATCTTAGCTTCCCAAAAGTGGCTGGCAGCCATGGAAAGTGGCTTCCACTTCTAAAAGTGGCGTCTCCAAACACTCATGTTACCTTGTGGCTTCCCAGAAATTGGAATCAAGATATTTGAGACGCGGCAAGCGATCGTGGCAAGGTGGTGGTGCTTGCGGTCGCCACAGCTTCCATGAGCCCTACGCAGGCTGCAACAAGTGCATATCGCGCACTGCGAGAAGCTGATGAACCACCACAGCTCGACGACTGGGACGTCATTGGCGTGAGGGAAGTGAGAAGAAGGCCGTCAGACTCGGACTACACCGATGAGTATGACGGGTATGACCTCTGAAGGGGTTGAAGCGAGAGGGTCTAGAGCTTTTGCCAAGAGGACTTTTTGTGGAATGACCCACATGAGGGACTGAAGTGGCGGGGAGCTGAGTAAGTCCCATGTGCGGTTTGACCCAAGGTCAAAGGGGGAGTGCATCATGGAAAACCCCGAGCAAGCACTCATGTTTTGCAGTTGAAGGTCATGCCATGAAGGTGAAGGTGACAACATGTCACATCGTCGAAGACCTTCTTTTAATGCTCAAAAGCCTGCTCCGCTCATGCAAAGAGAATTTCTGGCGCAGGGAGGTCAAAAGCCGCTAGGTTAGAGGCCATTGCTCTTAGGTTGGAGGCCATCGCCAGTAGGTTCCATCCTTCACCATCCTTCCCCCCCACGCAGCACAGCAAGGCCTTGGCCGAAGTCATCGAGGCCTGCGCGCAGGCGGAAATCAACCCTCCGCGGTGCGGGTGAAGTGTGGGGGATGCGATTCCCTACAAGGAGTGTAGAGGACAGGATGTCTTTCTCAGGTTGGCGACACTTCGGAACGTGGGTCAAATAGTCCACTTCTACGATTGTTGAGGACTTAGGCGCCAAGATGGTTGGATCACTGTCAGGACACCCAGACTTTTGCAGTATAGTCCTCCCCTCAGACAGAGTTTTGGATGTTTTCTGACCATTGGTGGAAATATTGTGGTTTCAGTGTAGATCCCATGTGGTCTTGTGGACCACAACGAGGGTCCGGGAGTAGATGACAAAATATCCCCTGCCTGCTTACTCTTCAGTGAAGTGCTCCGAGAGTCAGCCAAATCAGATGAGGTGAAGAAACTCTTTGGCGATGACCTTTGACATGATTTGTTTCTTTTGGTTGCAAACACACCCCAACAATCCATCCGATGTTTTTGACCTTGGGCTGCCTTGGGCCTCCTTCGGCCTTGCCCCCTTCCGCCTCCTTGGGGGCACCAGGCGACGTCATCCTTCTGTTCCTCGACAGTGAGGGAGGTGAAATGCCCAGACAGGGAAGTCTTGAGCGCCAGTGAAATCTTAAACCACCAACCAGATTGAACACAGCAGTGTGTTGTACGTGCCTTAGAACAACACATATGACTTTGCATCGCTTTTGTTGCAGAAAACTTGGCTCACATAAGCATCGCCGCGTCGCCATGGCCATCCGCATCACTTTGCTCCTCCTCCTCCTGCCCTTGGCTGGCGCCTCACTGCTGGAAGCGGTGAAGAAAGGAGATTTGAAAGATGTGAAGAAGGCCTTGGCCTCGGAGGCCTCTGAGATCAATGAACAAGACGAAAATGGCATGACGCCTCTGATGCGGGCTGGCAACAAGAACTCCACAGAGATGGTGAAGGCCATCTTGGCAAAGAATCCAGACTTGAACCTGGTGAAGAAGGCCTTGGCCTTCGAGGCCTCTGAGATCAATGAACAAGACGAAAATGGCGTGACGCCTCTGATGCGGGCAGCCAACAAGAACTCCACAGAGATGGTGAAGGCCATCTTGACTTGAACCTGCAGGACAAGGAGGGCTTCTCAGCCTTGATAATTGCAACCAGGTTTTGAACGGCAGGGATGGTGAAGGCCATCCTGGCAAAGAATCCAGACGTGACCCTCCACTGGGCAGCTCAGTTTGGCCACCCCAGGACTGCAAAGATCCGGCAGAACTCACTGCCCGCATGGGCAGACAGTCTTGCAAATGGCACAGGATAGACAAGCACAGTGTGAAAGAAGTGAAAAATGCAGCACTGAGATAAACTTATTGAGATTCCACAAACTTATTGAATTTTTGAAAGAGTCCATGCCAACGGGATTCGCCCTTCTGCAGACACGGCTAGGAACGAAGGAGTTCAAAACCTCCATGGGCTTGTCAGTCTTCCGCAGTTTCCTCTTCGGAGCCATGCCCTCACAAATGCCTCACAAGAAACGGAAGCCACAGGACCGAGGAGGCTTGCCCTCCAGTCGGTGGTCAAGAATTCCATGTGGCACGTGGTGGGAAGGGCCACAGGGATTTAGGCATGGCTATGCGGTGGATCGAGGTGAAATCCTTCCTTCCGTTTTATGCCCTGATTTACATCTTGCCACAGGCCTTTGAGGTGGGCCCCCGTGCCCTCAAGGAACCGGTACTGCTGCTTGGCCTGGACAAACGTGCAGGCTGCAGCTTGGCCTGGGTACTGCGGGTCATAGCGACGTTCCTTTGCTTGGCACTGACCGCTTGGATGACGATGATGCCAGATGAGTGCTTAATGGAAATCTGGTACGCCTTGGGGGTCGCACCCGTCAAAGCTTGGGCTTTTCAAAAGTGGACCAAGTGGATGGTTGGAGGAACCCCCAAACTTCCACCTTTGCTGAACCTTGCAGCCTCACAAAATGCATGCCCATCAACGAACACAATGGATCCACTCATGTACCCCTGCTACTTTGGGTTTCTCGGCTTCGTTTGGGTCAGGCGATCTTGGAGATGTTGGGAATGGGAGGAGCAGCTTTGACAGAAAGCGACTCAGACATCGTGGGGCAGCTAGAAGATGCCATCAAGAAGACCAGCGTTGCAGATGAAGTCAACAGCATCAAAGTTGATGGAATCACCGTGACAGCTGAGAAAGGGCTCGTGCTCAACCCTTTTCCAGGCGGGGCTTGAGATTTGAGACTTGGTTAATCATATTGTTGCAGAGTCATTTGATGATGATGCAACTCTATACAGCTATACTACATTAACATGTTTATATGTTTGTATGTACATATATATATAGATGTTATCATTTATGTATATACACATACATATGTATAGAAAAACATGTATTTATACATATGTATATTCGTATAGAGACAGACTATGCATACCCTGCTTTGCGTTTCCCATTCATTGCTTTGTTGAATCTCTGGTCTTTACTGTATCCTCGTCTCCTTGTTGTTTCTTGAGCTTATGTGATCTTTCATGATCTTTCTATGTTACGAAAGCCAGCCTTCATAGAAGGCGCCAGCTGAGTTGCGCTTGGCGAACAAAGTGATAGGTAGGGGGGTCTGGGGGTGGCCCGAGAAAGGTACACGTAAACTCGGCGCATGCTGGGGGAGGAGGGTGCACGGATGGAAGGTTTTGGAGGTTGTTTTGGAGGTGATGTTTTGGTGATTTTGGAGCGGGTGGCCATGCAAGAAACGCATTTTTTTGCTTTTGCGTCATCTGAATGTGGATGGTTTCTCAAGGGTTATCTAGCGGCTTGGGGCATGGGAAATTGAAGTGCTATACCATGCAACTGAATTGTAGTTGCCTTGGGTCCGTATAAATGCTATTGCGCTATACTTCCGACACACCAATATAAGTTCAAAGCACTAATGAGATTGGAGAGGGAACTTGAAGAGCAACATCATTGGATCATTGGATATTCGATCGCAATCCCGTCTTTCTGTGTAAACTATCCTTTTCCTGGGCAAGAGATTGCGACTCCTTACCTTGGGTCCGTATAAATGCTATATTGCGCTATACTTCCGACGCACCTATATAAGTTCAACGCACCAATGAGACTGGAGAGGGAACTTGAAGTGCAACATCAACGACAATCCTGTGTAAACTATCCTTTTGTGGGCAAGAGATTGTGACTCCCTGAAAGAATCATGATGACTGTACATGGACAAGAGGCCCTCCTAAAAAGACTCTAGCGGCTTAGGGGAATGGGAATCGAAGTGCTATTCCATGCAGCTGAATTGTAGTTACCTTGGGTCCGTATAAATGCTATTGCGCTATACTTCCGACACACCTATATAAGTTCAACGCACTAATGAGATTGGAGAGGGAACTTGAAGTGCAACATCATTGGATCATTGGATATTCGATCGCAACCCCGTCTTTCTGTGTAAACTATCCTGTTTAAACTTTCCTTTTGCTGCGCAAGAGATTGCGACTCCTTACCTTGGGTCCGTATAAATGCTTTTGCGCTATACTTCCGACACACCTATATTAGTTCAAAGCACTAATGAGACTGGAGAGGGAACTTGAAGTGCAACATCACTGAATCATTGGATATTCGATCGCAATCCCGTCTTTCTGTGTAAACAATCCTGTGTAAACTATCCTTTTGCTGGGCAAGAGATTGCGACTCCCTGAAAGAATCATGATGACTGATGACTGTACATGGACAAGAGGCCCCTCCTAAAAAGACTCTAGCGGCTTAGGGAAATGGGAAATTGAAGTGCTATTCCATGCAACTGAATTACAATTACCTTGGGTCCGTATAAATGTTATTGCGCTATACTTCCGACACACCTGTATAAGTTCAAAGCACTAATGAGATTGGAGAGGGAACTTGAAGTGCAACAGCATTGGATCATTGGATATTCGATCGCAATCCCGTCTTTCTGTGTAAACTATCCTTTTCCTGGGCAAGAGATTGCGACTCCTTACCTTTGTTCCGACACACCTACAAAGTTCAAAGCACTAATGAGACTGGAGAGGGAACTTGAAGTGCAACATCACTGGATCATTGGATATTCGATCGCAATCCCATCTTTCTGTGTAAACAATCCTGTGTATACTATCCTTTTGCTGGGCAAGAGATTGCGACTCCCTGAAAGAATCATGATGACTGTACATGGACAAGACGCCCCTCCTGAATACTCTAGCGGCTTCGGGACAGGGAAATTGAGGTGCTTTACCACGCAACTGAATTGTATTTACCTTGGGTCCGTATAAATGCTATTGTGCTTTACTTCCGACACACCTATATAAGTTCAACGCGCCAATGAGACTGGAGAGGGAACTTGAAGTGCAACATCACTGGATCATTGGATATTCGATCGCAATCCCGTCTTTCTGTGTAAACTATCCTTTTGCTGGGCAAGAGATTGCGACTCCCTGAAAGAATCATGATGACTGTACATGGACAAGAGGCCCCTCCTAAAAAGACCCATTTCCGCTACAACAAGGTCGATGTTTGGATGGAGTTTCAGTGTATTTCCTATTTGCATGGACCGTTTTCCGCTGCTCTGGGTCCGCGCGCGCGCGCGCGCCTTACTCTACGGTAGAGTGGGCGCCAACAACGCGCGGACCCAGGATGTTACCGCAAGGAGTCGCCACCCCGACAGAGTTGACAAAATCGCTGTTCCTGACGCCCCTCGTTGAGGGCCAGTTTTGGCTCACGGCGGCTGCTTTGCACCCTTGTTTCACCGCAGCCGTGCCGCTCGTGACAAAATAACGCTGGCTTTCGTTGTGCAGTTTCTCAGGTATTTGGTTGATACCTGCTGGCTTTCACTGTGAAATCTCATGTTTTTGCAGTTCAGGGAACAGATGCCTTGTGAACTCTCTGGACTTGACTCCTTGGATTGCGACACAGGCGGTATGTACTTTCAACGGTTTCCTGCAAGATTCGGTGTTGGACTTGATCGCCAACTTCAATCTCATCATGGCAGGGCAGTTCTATTTCGCTGCCGCATCAACATTCATCATGTTGACTTGCACAGTAGCCGAAGTGATGCTGGCACGTCAAGAGAACTTGAAACAAGAACTGCAGAAGTCGGCCATCAAAGGGTTCAAAACAGAACCAGTTCTAAGAATGTTGAAGTTGGAACAGTGTTTTGACACTCCCTTTTCTTTCGTGTTGAGCTGCTATGCTTGGACATTTGCCATTCGAAACACATGTTCCCTTCTCAACGGCATGGGCACTTTGCTGTCTGGAGTTTATGGCCTGGCCGGCACCATTTACTGGGTGGAAGATTTGGACCTTTATCGAACGAAACCCAAATGGACACAACCATAAGGCCATAGTGTCAGAGTATTAGTGTCATCATGTTATATCATGTTTCATCCGCTTTGTCTCACAGAATTCGATGTGAATGAACAGTGCAAAGTGCTAGAAAGAGGATTTGGCGCATTGTGCTGCATTGTGCTGCATTGCGCTGTTGAGTTTCTTGAGTTCATTGAGTTCGGGTTGTTCAACATCACATCACTTCGCAGGTGATGGAACTTCCGCTGGTTTCCTTTAACTTGTTATGAAAGAGACAAGGCCAAACAACGGAAAGTTGTCGGCTTCCCCTGTGATCTCAGATTTGCCGATCCTGATGTTTCATTTCCTTGGAACCAATAACCGCTCCTTCAAGGTGTGATTTGACTGGTGAGTCTGATTCTTGTCATTTTCGGGGCGGATCTGAGGCTTTAGCCAGAACTGCTGCGCCGCAGTTTGAGAAGGCGTGGTGCCATCCTGTTCTGGGTGAGCCAATGATTCCGGCCCATCCACCATTGTCAGATGACAGATGTGTCCAGCGGTACCGACGCCGCTTCTTCAGTACGTTGGGAGTGCAACTGGATCATATTCAATCTTCATGACTTTGTTTATTATGCTTAGTAATTGTTTAGCTTAGCTTTGTTCATTCCTTGGCCAACTCATCGTTTCTGCATTTTGGCATCATGTGTCTTCGATGTCCATTGTTTTCGCTCAGGAGCAGATCTCCCAGCTGAGCGAGCAACTCTCACGCAGGATGACCAGGCAGAATGGATGTGGGACCAAGGAAACTTGTCTGGGTAGGCTTGCAGTCCAGAGGGTCCAGTTTTGTCCCAGAGGGCCCCAGCTAGGGTCTGCAGACATACTTTGGCCCCAAAGACCATGAGGCCTATCCTATTTATCTTGGACTGCTCCAAGTCAGCGCTCAGTACAGATGGAGCGGCTGACTTCGTCCTGCCAGGAAGCCTCAGGAAGACAATCCTTGTTAGAAATACATTCAGCTCCAAAACTGCTTGAGTAGATGGCACAGCCTGGCGCAGGCTGGAGCAACGCATGGAGGTGACCCGGGGTGCGGATGGAGGTCCAGTACGGGCAGCTCCAGCGATTGGATTTGCGAGGACCTTCCAACATGGCGCTACCATCCAGTCGCTGTTGTAAGAGGGCCATGTGCCAATATACTTTGGGGTGGGGATCCCAGACCGAGATTTGGTGAGACTTGCTCTTTCAGGGTTTTGGCTGCATGTAGCTGCATGATGCAGCCTATGAAGAGACGATGAGCCTCTGGGGGACTGGACGGCACTCGTGATGGAGAAACTCGTGCAGAAAACGGGTGTGACTGTGGTGGATCCTGGTGTCAACCGGTCGAGGGCCAGGGTATTTTTCTTTAGCACCTGTCACCCCGTGCCACGGGTTCATAGCACTGTTCTTTCTCCGACAGCAGCTCCAACGGTGCTATACCTGCGGCCTCCAAAAGATGATGACGAGTGGTCCCCATGATGCATGGTGCACATCGTCACCCTGCGGGCAGGTTAGGAGGATCATGGATGCTGTGTTCTGTGAATGGGAGGTGAGCTCAGGCACATGACAATTTGAATTTGACCCCCCGACAAATCCGCTGATGAAAGAAGAAATGCACGTCTAGCGTTCAGGTGGGGGGTTATAGATTTCAGCCAGCACCGCCAATATCTCAAATTCTTCCCACTAGATGTCCATCACAAGCTTTTTGGGATCCATTCACCGTGAATCACAATCAGACCGGCTTTTGCTTTGGATCTCGCAAAAAAAAAAGGGGTTGCTTTACAACATGTTACAAACACGAGTCATTTCGGCGAAGTCCTGTTCCTTGTTTGGATGCGATCCCCATGTTTCGCTGCCTCGCGTCTTCGCGTCGTCTAAAGCAGCTCCCGCCGAAGCCGAGAGTGGTGCAGGCCATGGATGAAGCCTTCCGCTCTCGTGAGGACTGGGACGATCGGACGAAACGGGAAGAGCTATGGACTGGGCCAATGCAACAGGTTTAGAGTGGTCTTCAGTGGTTGCAAAGCAAAGCAACCAGCTGAAACGGGAAGATTAGACAGATCAAAAACATCTTCAGTTTGCACCCCAGGGAAGCGCAGTCCAGTTACACTCCCCTCAACTAAGAGACCTTACATTTGGCAGTCAATTTGCCAGGAAAGGCATTGTCCAAACCCTGCTAGGGTATGCTAAGGTGGGCCATTTTGTGGGGAGGGTCTCTTAGCCAGAACATCCTCCCGGCGCTCTCAAGTGGAAAGTTCCCTGCTGGACCAGATCATCTTGTCGCATTGCCAGGAGGTTCCTCACTTGTGGGGCACCCAGTGGTAGAGACATTGGTCTGAGGTTGCCAGGCTGACGGAAAAATGATGTAGAGAGGAGTCTGTTTAAGTGAGTTTGTTGAGGTTTCAGAGACACATAGGAACTTGATGGAACTTGTATTATTTGAGTATCATCTAGAATTCACAAACTAGCTGACTAAGTACCGAGCCATGCACGGATAGAACGCTGCATCTCAAGGCGAGAAAGGGAGAAGGAGGAGCCGGCAGGGGGCCTGGGGGAGGAGAAGAGTGACATGCCAAGTGATGACATTGAATTCCAAGATTGGTAGTGTGCATGTTGATTTGGGTGTTGCTATGGCGTACATCTGCGCCCTGGAAGAGGAACTAGCAATACATGTTTGTTTGTTCAACAGGAATTGTACAGAGTTTTGAAGTGGTCGACTTCAGCGCAGAAGTCACGAAGTCGACTTCAGCCACTTGGTACAGTCCGATCCAATCAGCCGAATCGGCTTTACAGCAAGCACGCTTGGTTGCTTTCGTAGACGCCGGCGCTTCAGCACCTACGTCCAGCGAACTCACTGGAACTCCCCACCATGTTGGGTGGGCTGTCAGAATGAGTGATCTGGTGGGGAACATCCTGGGTCAGTCCTGCACAAGCTTGCACAAAAAGCATTAGGAGGTCAAAAAATCTGGTGCATTTTGGTTGACCGGTGTCTGAAGCAATTCCGAGTGTCTATATCAACAGACCACTCCAAATATCGCGCGGGTCCGCGCGCCCCACGCGCCACGTGGCGGGTCCCATGCAGTGGCGACGAGCCCTGGGCGTGGCGCTGGCGCTGGCGGCGCTGGGGCGTGCCTCACCTCGTAGTGAAAAACTCGTCGACGGTTGGCCCTAGAGCGTTTCGGCTGTACAGTTACTCTGGTGTAACTAAGGATTGTAAGGTATGAGACGGTGAGATGAAAAAGGTGTTCACAGGACGAGGAAAGCAAAGATCTCTTCGAGTCGAGGTTTACGTGGGTTTGTGTGCGTTTGTGTCATCAAAATATGTGTGGATTCAGGTCCTGCCCCTAAGATGTCTTTCAGGCGATGTTTATGCAGGTTTATGGGCATTTTGGCAAAACATGTGTGGATTTGTGTTTATGCAGGGTTTACGTCCAGTTTTCAAGCACAATGTGTGGGTTGAGGTCCTGCCCCAAAGAGATCTCCAAGGTGCTGTTTATGCAGGTTTGTGTACGTTTTTTTTTGCAGTATACAGGTTTGTTACGTTATCGTGGTCAAATGCACACGTTCAGGTCCTATACCCAAAAAATGTGTTCAAGGTGACGTTTATACAGCAGGTCTATGTGCAGCTTTTCGGCAGAATGTATGGATTCAGGTCCTGCCCCACTAGATGTCTCCAAGGCTACGCTTTTGCAGGTGTGTGTGTGTGTGTTCGCTTTTGCAGTAACATGTTTGTCGATGTTTATGTCGGTTTGTGCGCGTTTTGCAATAAAAGTTGCAATCAAAATTATGCATTAAGCTACTGCTCCACCGATGTCTCCAAGGTGACGTTCTAGGCAGAGGTTTGCCGCATACCAATTTGAAATTGCAATATATTCCCGCAGTTTTTGACACTTGGTCTTCACTTCGTGCATACATACACATGTTAAAATAGCAATAGTATCGCAGTTTTGTATTGAAAACCAGTTTTGTTTCGACAACTTCAACGGTTCTTCACCAGCGGATATCTTTGATATTGGGAGACAAGCCCAGAATGTGTTTTGCTTGGTTCGAGCGAGCGAGAGGAAGCAACGCAGGAACTAGCGAACCCAGTGCGTGTGTGTGTGTGTGTGCCGTATACACTGCATTGCATATGTTCTGACGAAAGAAAGATTCGGGTTGTCCAAGGACGGTGATTTTCAAATGTGGAATTGGCAATGAGTTGCAAATTCTGCACTTAATTCACTCAAGGTAAGCATCCAAAACATAATTTTTGGTGAAGCAAAGGTGAACAATTGTGCGTTGCCGCCCCTGGGTGGCATCAACCCCCCCCTTGCCAAAATGATCCAAAGTGAAAGTGTTTATCAACGCGTTCATATTGTTTTCGTAGCGTCAAGCACAGTACCAAGCACTGAGAAGATCTCCTTCTCCGCGAAGCGGCGCTACCATTCGTGGACCGGGTGGGACCGAAGCTTCGGACGACGCAGGTTCCTGGATGGAGATCGCTCCGGCGCGCTTCTCGGAGCATGCGAACTGGCTGATCCCCCAGCGGTTGATGGTAGGCCCGGTGACTCGGCCGTATTATAGGCCTAGTGACCGTGTCAGTATATAGGCGGACTGGGCTGTATAGAATCCAAGTTTTGACACCCCAAATCCAATTGAATTCCTCTTTAAACGTGTGAAATGCATGGAAAGCCGGTGGGTGATCAGAAGGATGAGGTCGGCACGCTGCGGCACGCTGCTTTCGCCAGGTCGGTATCCCTATGTGAGTCCGGTCTACTGCCCATCGGAAGCCGAAGCCAAAGATCAGCTTCAAAGCTTGCTGCAGGCAGCTGCCTTGCTCGATCATTGTTTATTTTTCTCGATAGTTCATGGACAAGACCCCGAATGGGTGGTGGAAAGCCCTTGAACTCTGAGGTTTTGAATTTTCTTCGGGCGGCCCAGGAGTTAGTTAGGGCCGACTTTCACATGTAGGATATATATATATATTATATATGATATTGAGCACGTGTTTATTCTGTGCAGAGATTTATACCCCGCATGGTTTGCTTTGGGGGGGGCATGCTGCAGTTGTCCATTCAAGAGTTGAAAGTTGAAAGGGTCAACGTGCAAAGTTTTTAGTCACTGGAGTGGCTTCTGTTTTTTGCATTTCATCATCAGTTTGGCTTTGCAAGTCATTGTAGCACTCCAATCAGTTCAGAGCACCTCAATCGACATGGCTTCTGACACAGGGTTATAGTATCACTCACATTTCATCATTTCTTCACCATTTCTGTATTTTTTCTCCAGCTATCATGCGATCGCTATACCTACCCTTTCTTGTAGTACCTTTTTGGGGATGTGTGGGTCCAACTGTGCATCACGTGTTTGTGTGCTGCCGTGGATGGATCCGTGTCAGGCTGGGATCACCACCTTTGTTTGCCTGCAGCGCCTTGGTCGAGCAATGCTCCGGTGTGCGGTAAACGATCCCGGTCCAAGCCGTTTGGAGGGTGGTAGAGACTTTCCGAAGGTGTTGGTGTTTAGTATGCTTTCCTTGATCATCTCCAGGGCTGCTCCGTTCCTCGAAAGGCCTTGGATTGCAGACGATTTGTGACCTTGGAGGTTGGGTGTGGCTTCAGCTGAAGGAAGCTATCGTTCACATACTGCAGTGACCGCTCCAAAGTTCCTCCCAATGTCCATAAGGTACTTAAACTTGGTTCTAATGTTCTAAAGTTCTAAGGCACGTGCTTCCGGGATTGATCATTTAAGGTACGAAAACACACACTGGGGCCGCTGTTTGTTCAGTCCATTAATGAAGGTAGGTCCCAAAAATCATGACACACAATTTCGTCACTGCCCCAAAGCAGCTGTCGATGGTGAAAGTTCGGTTGTTCATGGTCAGGTCAGGTCCGGTCAGAATTTATTAATATATATATATATATAGTATAATATATAGTAAGATATCTGTTCGGTGCTGAACACGCTGTTTGCCCCCAAAAACGCCTCCATGTTCTTGTCTCGAATTCACTGTCTCGAATCCTCCGTGTTCAGGTCGGAGCTGCCCGAACAGTTCGCCCCCTGGCCTCGCGGTGGAATTCACGTGCCGGGCTTCGCTGGTGCCTTCCAGCCATATGGCGCGCGGGCGCAACAGCTGGCGTTGAGGACCGAGCTGCACTTCTTGTCGCTTGGACATGAGGGCTGCCAGGGCTGGTGTGGGAGGACATGTGGGATATATAGTGGAGTGGACGAGTAGTTGGGCTACAGGATGTAGTAGATTTAACATTACCACCAGTAATTATGTAATCATATAGCTGAAATACTGCTATATTTCACGGCATCAGGCATCAGACAGGATATCGATGCACCTTGTTTTTGGGAATTTGGATCCAGATTAATTTGTTGCGCAACGTTCAGGAAGCTTTGAGCCTGGACATGTAGTTTAGGGATACGTTGGATGGTTGGAATTTGGTGGATTTCCCACAAGCAACATCACCAGGCTGCACCACCGCATGTGTGTTTGTGTTTGAAGTGCACATGGGAAATCGATTTGCATGTGTGTTCATTTGTAATCCCGCATGTGGAAATGGCACGCGTTCGCACACGTACAGTACATGGTGTAATTTCAAGTCCTGGGCTCAGGAACGCAACAAACGCTGGTAGAATGAAAAGGGTTTGGGCTTGCAAGCAATCTGTTCTTAAGCATTCGGTCAAATCAATGATGTGTTTTCTTGTGCAATCATCCAAGGCACAACCCCATTGCAGTGCTCGCCTTAGCGTCCGCTTCAAGTCAAGACTCAAGACAGATCGTTGCAGCATGGTTTTCCCCAAATCCCCATTTCTCCGCTATTTGTTGTGCAACAAATACATTGTCCTGAGCTAAGGTTGGCCCGAGGCATGTTCATATTCCAACATATTGGGAGGTTGAAAGTGAATTTCTTTGTTAACAGAAGAGTCGCTGTCAGCCAATAGTCAATACAGTAATACAACTATATTTTGGTGATTGGTGGATGACCCCCAGAATACTCTGGAAAGAGTACTGTTTTCAGCAACTCGTGCTTCATTCACTGAGCCGTTGGGCAAGCACCGAACCCACGCAAGCCACTGGAAGTAGAGGGTTCCCGTATTTATGATACTGTCCTCCAGATCTCTTCCATCACTGACATTGGTTGGTTACATGGGTCCGTGAACGAATGGGTCCTTTTTTGCAGCACTTCAATCATTTTCATGTTCGTCTCCATTTCAGACACCCTTTTTCATTCCACCTCAGGTGTGCGTTCAGATCTCGATCTCCAAGGGTGCGTTCGGATCTCGCCGCCAGGACCTGGGCACCCCAGGACTCTCGGAGCTTTCCACCTTGGTCGGCGACCTGAAAGAGCGCTTGCTCAGCGACCAGCGGGTCTACGTGCATTGCTGGGGCGGCCGCGGCTGGAGCGGTGCACTGGGCCGACGATCGGAGAGGGAAGAGGTTGATGGGAGTTTGCCGTGATAGGTGATTTTGGTGGTTGGGGTGTTGGTGTGGCAGTTGGGGAACTGTTCACGAACCAGAACTTTGTCCAGTGCAATACACCCTTGCCAGCCGTAGATATTTGTTTGACTGTGAATTATGTATGGCCCAAGATAGTCCGAGTACTTCTCCAAGTAACCATGCGTGCGAGCAACCTTCGTTAGGTGTGGTCGCAGCTTGCCTGTTGGGAGCTTTGCACCCAGAGCTTTCTGCTGATGAGGCTTTGCAGCTGGTGCAAGTGGGATACACTTCCAGGTGGGTGCTTGTCACTGTGACCCCCATGGTTTGGTGCATTTGTCAGAGTTATTTTTGTGCTGGGCACTTGATGATGGTGTAAACGAAAGAGCGACCTGAGCTGGTTGGCCTGCCAATCAGGTGAGAGTATGGTAGTCTCAATGACATGCTTTTGGCCACTCTCTCTCTCTTTCTCTCTCTTTTTCTCTCGCTCTCTCGCACGCACTCGTCTTGCACCCTGAGGGGTAGTGCTTTGGACGTTGGGTCTTTATCGAAGTCTCCACAGACGTTTGAGCAGCGTGAATTCGTGCGAAAATGGTTTGGTGCTGAGCGGAAGCACATCGCTTCCAAGTGAAACACATCATTGATTGGAATCGCATAGGGCCGCTTCTTTGTGCTTCATGCTGGTTCGATGGGCGATGTTGTTTCGTGCCCAGGACACTGCGATGTGGTGAACCGTTCGCTGTTTCCTGTTTCGAAACGCGAAACGCTCCGCCATGTCCAGCCTCCATCGCGGTGAAATGGCGCGTGAAGCAGATGGGCTGGAGGGCTGGAGGAGGATGATTGCAAAGATATCCTCAACAGTTGTCATTTCATCCGTGGGCAAGTCTTTCAATCAAGAGGTAGAAATACATGAATAGATATAGATAGATATAGATATAAAGGGTATATTCACACTTAGAAGCCCTGTCAAAGACATGCTTGAAGGAGGATTCACCTTTCTATATCTATTTGCTTGGGACCCCAAGTTACACCATCGAATGAGCGTCAGAAAGTGACAGCCGCCGTTGATCCCTGGGCGAAGGCAGACGCCGATCCTTCCCTTCAGGAGCTGTGGTCGGAGCAGAAGAGGGTCATGCAAGACCTCAGGTTGCAGTCGGGAGGGCCTGGCACATCGATGACATCTGCTGCCTGAGGCCCGACTACATGGCAGGTGAGGATGGACCATGGACATAGTGAACTACTTAGTGGGAATCCTCCCTGTCCATTGCTTGCAATTTAATGGTTTCACTCATCTAATTTGTATCCTAGCTGGTGCAAGTAAGACTTGTCCACTGGTTTTCTCCAAAACTTAAGCTGAAGAGCTGAGGCCTTATACAATTCACAAACACGAAGATGTCACTCTCTTATGTTCGCATTGGTGCATCTGGTTTTCTCCCAGCTTCGATGCAGGCCTCTCAGGGCCACCCCCCCTGCCACTCACATCGTTGGATGACGCGAACCAATCCGTAACGCCTGAGGTTGGAACAACGCTTGGGGCACCTCACCGGCCAGGTGGAGGCATGGTTAGTCTCCACGGAGAGAGTGATGTCTTGGAGTGCCAGCGTTGTAGTCTCAGGTCTTGGAACCTCTTTGTGTTTTTTTCTTTGTATGTGCTATCAATTAAGGATTGAATGTTGCCAATCTCAAAGATGCCAAGTTGTACACAGATATGTAGATCAACTGAAGCGCTGAATGGGTTAATCATCTAATTTGTTTGTTCGGACGTTTTTGCTTTAGAGCTGTCTTTCCCCAAGTTCTGGGTGGCGAAGGTTTGGCCCTTGGCCTACCCCTGGAGGTGGTTAAGGGTTTTAACGTGCAATAACCGGGGCACTCGTGGCTGTCCTCACGAGTCACAGGATGTGACCAGATTACAATCCCAACTCCAAGCGGACGTCCAGTCACTGGCGCGGAGCCCCACGGATGTGACCAGAAGTCACGGTCGGATGGATGTTTCACGTGGCCACTTTGGCCACTGTGGCCAAGCTTTAGTCCATAAAGCATGCGTGCAACCGTCTGGCCAATTTTGCAAAAGTGGAGACCAGAACAGGCAACAATTAGTAGGCTCCAACTTCTTGGCCAAATGTTCCTCCGATACCAATCATGTGTGTGTTCCTTTTCTTCACTTCACCCCCTTTAATTTAATGTTATCATTTCTTTGAGTAGTGTTTTCTTACGCAATTGTTTTGCTGTAATTACAGGGTATAGTTGGATATTTTGCTCATGGGCCATTCAATCCTCAATTGACTAGTTAACTACAACCAATCCAATACAATATAATCCAAATGTTCCTTTTCTCAAACCCTACCTTCCAAGATGCCATTTGCTCATGCTGTCTCATTGTTGGCTCATACCTTGTGCACTTTACACATTCAGTGAGACTCATTGGATAGGATTGGCCAAATTGATGGAGATGTGCAGCAAAAGTATTATGAAGGGATTTAGTCTTGGGGAACCCTCCACATTAATTTGATGGTGGTGCTCCACATTTCACCTTCTGACCTGGGGGGTTATTTATCATGACGAGACACCAATAGTTGGCCCTCAATGTCATAATGTTCTTTTTCGTGTAATGAATGGTAAAGGACATCAATCTATTCAGCAGATGCTTTGTGGAGAAATGATTTCCCCCCCAACCCGCACCCACACACCCGCATGAACGGCAATGGCAATATTCTGGGGTGTCCTTGCGCTGTTTTCATGTAGGAGTCTCTTTTGATCGTATATACTTGGAGCCATCAGTACAAAGAACCTTTGTTCCCCCGCTCTGAGTGATTTCCATGTGTGTAAGACAGGGGCCACCACGTGAACGTGACCGACTCGAGTGAGTGGGGCCGGTCTCCCACACCGGTCGGCTCCATAGCCACAGTTGTGACCCTGGTGACTCGACCGGTCGTGATAGCCTGGGTCAGAAGAGCTTGGCACCAAGTAGACTGATTGACCATGATTGACCTGTCTTTTTCTCCACCTTATTTACTTGCCTGATGACCCCTCAGAAGACCCTTTGCATCCCTTTGCGCCAAGGCCTCCAAAGTGCCTCGTCAGCCAGAGGCCGACTATGAGTCAGCCTTGAGGACAGCTGCAGCTGGTGAACATCATCTTATGTCACACACGCTAGTTTTTTTGATAAATAATTTGAACCCAAAAAGTAAAGCCTGAGGGCCGACAGGCTTTAAGGGCTGACAGGTTTTAAGCCCACATTGTATAAAATATCGATCTTGGATGGACAGAATCTATATACTTGGGAGTTCACTGGCCCCATGAGAATATGGGACTTTACCACAGGCTATTCTTGAGCATTTTGTCAATTTGCAGGATACGGGATACTGAGATTTAAGAACCTCCATATGATAAAAAAAACAAGTGCTGTTCTAATCAACCCATATATTTGTTGCTTGGTTGGTGACGCCTCCACTGATATCCATCCATTTCTTCCCCATCTTCAAGAGCCCGACAATGCCCTCACCGTTGTTTCGATGCTCGTTTGGATTGGACCACCGGCGCCACTGGGATGGTGATCTTGTGAAGAAAGCTCCTCCAACAGGATGTTGATGGTGTTTTGTGAGTCATTCTCACAATCAATACCCTATTTGGAACCGCTAGGTATTGAGGAAACAAGGACCGCCTTCCAAAAGAAACAGCCGGAAACCTCATTCGAACTGTTCGAGAGGTGGGGACCGGCACTACCCGTGCCAAGTTCCAAGTGCTTCCCCGACCGGAATCGATCCAGTTGACGTGTCAACTGGCTTTGGGGAAGTATGCTTTGGTCACTGGGGAGGGGCCAAAAGAAACCGGTTTGCTCGATCAAGTGACAAGATGACGGCTTGTCAAGGAATCATTTGTGGACTTAGGCATCCCTTAGTTAAGTGATACACGTATGTTAAGATTTCCAAACAGACTTTTTCGTGCGAGTGTTTGGGATATTCGCAGTGACAGTGTTGTTTTCATGGTTGATCATGGTTGATCCCGATATGGTCAATTATTCCAAATTCGGATCCAACTATGCGCTACTGCGTCATCGATGTAATTTGCTAGAGGATGAATTACAATATATACACATACATTCTATATATATATATATTTCTTTTTTTATACAACAAATAAAGTTGGATCACATGATTCAGAAACAAAGGCTTCTCATGAGGCCCCGAAATGTCCGCGAGCCCATATTATGTATATATACCAATAATTACTCACCCCGTGGGCTGGATGAGAGAACGTGCTCTGCACATCACAGTCGTTTCCAAGCTGCATATACTGTAAGACATTGAAGACGCAAAAAAGAAAAGGCACCTCCCGGGACTTTCAACCAATGCCCGATCAATTTACCATAGAACGCTCGAAGGTTGACTTAAAGCCTAGTGGACATCGATATACCACGTCTTTTGGTGCCATGTTCAGTCGTGTGCGTGCATCAATGCAAAGTAACCGCCGTTTGCTGATTGCAGCTGCAGGGACGCTGACAGCATTTAAATTTGTGGAACGTGCTGAATACAAAAGGAAGAAGCATGGTTTACAACTCATGTTTCCTTTGGTCTTTCACACGTATCCCCAAAAGTGTCAAGACCTGGATCTCCGAATGAAAGGGATCATTGCTCCTCATTTAAAGCTTCTGCGAAAATATTGGTCAGCAGGCAAGCTGGAAGAAGAGTGTCGAGATCTTTCTATCCGAAGCACTGCGTGTGTTGCCAGCATCAAGCGGGGAGAGGAAAAGTTCAGTACTCCTCAAAATCTTCGGAGGTATATTCGAGTACAAACGCTCCGGAATCGGCTTTACGGCCAAATACGGCGGAATGTGTTGGCTACGCTGGAAAGAGGAACGGCCACGCCTTTTCGCGACATGGAACTGGAGGTGCTTGTGGATGCTATGGAACGGGAAGCAGATCCCGATTGGACTGTACTGTTTGAGTCCTATGAAGTATCCTGATCGAGAAAAGTCTGAAGAGATGGCTCAGTCTGAAGAGACTGGCTACAGGGATCCAAAAAACTACTTCTATCACAGGTAGGAACATCGCTGTAGTCAAACTCATCTTGCATTAAAGAAGCACACCCACTTGCCAGTGAAAGATGTATATTTGAGTGGATCTAGTGCCCGCAAAACCAGTCGGCGCGCTGATATATTCTCAGGTCTTCACCATTCAGATCTGGACATTGTGATGGTGCTTGATCCAGATTGGGCATAGAAGATGAAGCCTGATGAGGTTGCTTCGAAGGTGGAGGATGAATGTGAGCGTTTGTTGGTTGAATACTTCTTCGACCCTTACTTCGAGAATATGTTTGCAGACATCAATGTGTCCAAGGGGTCCTATTGTGTGAACCTCTCTCGGGCACCCAATGCCTTTTTCCCATTACGCCTTGATGTTGACGTGGTTCCGGCCATCCAGAATCCGGAGGGTGGAGAGTTTATTCTGAACATGAAGGAGGGAGTGTGGTTCAAGAGTAATCATAAACTTCACCTAGAGAGGTGGAATAAGAAGTTGCAGCAACATCCAATGATTGGCAGAATCATATTTATGCTCAAGGTTTGGAACAGTTGCAATGGTAATTTGCGACAGGGTAGGAAGCCTATGTTCAAAGGTATTCATTTTGAAGCCCTTCTCTTGGACTGGACGCCTGCACCATACCAAAATGAAGATGAGGCCATGATGGATGCAATTTCCCATATCAAATCACGATTCAAGGAACCTTTTGTGGCTGGAGGTCAACAGCACGCATGCAGCTACATCACTGAAGACCCCGAGCTTTTGCAATGTGTTGAAGAAAAAACCAAAGAAGCAATCCTTCACCTCTCAGGAATTTGTGAAATCTTGCAGGGAAGGCAAATTAAAGATCTGAACCTCGATGAGACCTATGAGGTCAGCAAGAAAGTTGCATTACTTTGCAGCCAGGATTTGGAAACACACAGCAAACCCGTGTTGTTTCTTGGATCATTTCAAGAAATTTCAAGTCTAAGTTCTTTGTTTTACAGTTTCGTTTTTTTAAAAGTGTGTTTCTTCTCGTTGACATGTTGCAACATTTGTGTGGTAAGGTTTACATCTGACTTCATGCTCATGGAATTTGCCATTGATTACTTCTTCGGAGCGGGTGAGGGGCACATCATGTCGCACTTTTACACACCCGAACTGGTGAAGAGCTGGGTCGACAGCTTGGCTGAAGCAGGAAGTTTGTCCGACTCTATGTACTATGACCTGAGGACGAAGGATGAGTGGGATGCATTAGAGGCACAAAAGCATGCTTTGGGTTTGACAAAGTGGAAGCTCCTATGGATCGCAGGGAAGACGCTGGGCATTGACTTCTTGAAAAAGTTTGCGAGCCATCGGGGCTAGTGTTTGATGGATCAGGACATGCTTAGGAGCACAACCCGAGGGAATTGCAGCATACCTGGTGGTGATGGTTTCGATCAACCTCCTGCTCTTGGACTTCCTGGTGCAATTTCTGTAGCGTCCTTGCCCCTAGTAGTAAGGCCTGGAGCCCCTAGTAGCGTCCTTGCTCCTAGTAGCGAGGCCAGGAGCCCCTAGTAGCGATGCCAGGAGTGAAACCTGCCCCCTTTTTGCCTTGATTTCTTTGCAAAAGCAGGAAGCTCACGAGCAACATGGAGGACATCCGTTCCCTCATGGCTTGAGCCTCAGAGCGCTAACCTGTGCTTCGGATGTGTGACGCTGGAGTGTGGAAGATCGGTTCTTGGGGATGTCTCCAAAGCTATTGTCCTCCAGCATTCACAGCATCGTGGCTGAGTGCTTGCTTGGGTGACATCAAACGGGTACGCAAGCGATGCTGGTTGGAATTGCTCAAAAGGATGAAATGCACCCAGCTCCTGTATCATCCGTAACCTTTGCATCCCCAGGAGTTTCCAAGACACCATTGTTCCATCGCTTTGCGTTTTAGGACGTCTTCCCGCCCTACAACAACCAAAATAGACTTGACAAGACAGAAGCTCTTCGTCGCCATTGGCAGAACCGGAGTCCCAGACGGTCCATTACACTGGAAGCACATGAACGCACCCAAACCACCGGGCTGATTCACCCAAGAAACAAGAAGATATATATATATATATGATACGTACGATATTGAATATATCATTATAAGATGTTTTAGCACGAGGAACGTTTTGCAGCTAATTTATTGTTTGGCCGTTTGACGTTTTAGGATGGGAAGAAACCCGTTGGTTGAATTGTGGTTGACCCCCCCAGTCGTGCCCATGAAATCGGTAGATCATCTCTGGGGGGATCTATGGTAGTGTACCATGATCCACGCCTACATCCGACCCTCGCTGAGAATGATCACGGCTGACGTGACGTGATCGGATCAATCCCTTGATCCCAGTGGTGCCCATCAAATCGGGATGACCGTAGTTGGTACCATGACCCACACCATGACCCACACCATCCAAGAACTCGCTCCGTTCTCGTCTGACCAGGCTTCTCCGGTGCAGACCTCGCCGCGGAGCAAGGGACTGAAGTGGAGTGGAGCCGGGGGATGGAAACATCCTTGATGATGCCCGACAACCTCAGCCCAAGAGGTTTTCCCTTTGGATCCAAGTTGATTGATGCGTGACATATTACAGTATGTATGTATCATATTAATATATGCCGTGTATATGCTGTGTCATTTAATAATTATGTGTTAGTTGATGTTTCTTGCTTTGCCCTTCCCATCTCAGTGAGCGGCGAGATGCGACAGTTGCTGTCGGGGAATTGCCTTTCTAAAACCATCCCCGATGTCAAGTGTGATCATTGATGTTGTTGCTCCCCTTGTCCAAGTTATATAAGTTCACTTTTTGTAATGCTTGAATATATCTTGTCCTTTTTTGAAATATGTTAAGAATTTGTGTGTTTGGGATCAAATTTCGATACCCTGACTGCTTGAGTCCTTCGGTTTCTTGAAGCACGCTACTTCACAGTTTCAAACAGCTGAGGAAGTAGTCAAGCCAGCAGCCCACCTCCAGGACTGCATATTTGCCACAGGCCAAGATTTGCTCTGTGAGCCTGACCAAATCAGTCCCGAAGCGACCAACGCCTGGAAAGTCTTCAGATGAATCCTGTTACCTCAGGTTTACCAAGGATCTTGCATCAAACCTTGGGGTATTCTTGAAAACCTCAGGTCTTTTGATGCACCATAAAGGTTGGAGGTGGTTGGATGCATGCTTTGCAGCATTGAAGATACACCCAGAAAGGAATTCAGAGACAGGGTTTCTGGAGCACTCGACAGGAATTACACCCTTCCAAACTAACACGACCCCACCTCCAAGGTTTTGGGAGTCCATCATCCATGAGATGATTGCTTGTGTCATTGACATTGGTGCCACAATTACAACCTGGGGAGAGTGACTAGGATGTGTTGACGTTCCCTTTCCTGAAACCTGATCCTGAGGCCGTTGGCGGCGCCTTTTCCGTCATTCAGAACAGAAGCAGTTGGTGGATATTGACCCGATGACCCCGCTCACCTGTCGACACAGCTTGCGAGGACATATGTCCACCATTGCCACCTCCCCGAGGCCCGGCATCGGCGGGGCGGGGCTTTCAGTGGTACCTTTGATTGCCAGTCGTTCGTGGGGCTGGTGTATGAGGATGTTGGGACAAAGCAAACTACTGTAATTACTGTACTCCTAAAAAGAAACATCTGAACAACTAGATCGGCCATGTTTGGCAGAAGGAAGACCCATTGCTATATGGGGTACGAACTACAGACCGGAGTGGAGTCGCATTGCCGACTGGAGCCTTTTTGTTCGGTACACCTGCACCACCCTTTTTTGTTCCGTAAATGTCGTGGTTTTCCTTTTTCAGGTGTTGGTCTTGTTCTTGTTCTTGTTGTTTTTGGATGTTTTTGGCACAGTTGGAGGATTTGGCAATCTGTCTGATTGCATGGTCGATGCTCAAGAACGCCCCTCATCCATTTTGCTCTTTGCGTGAGACGCTGACCTTTTCGTTTCAGAATTTTGGAACCCAGTTCGCCCGTTGAACGGGACACCCCGACGAAAACCAAGAAGTGCCAAGCAGAAAGTGGACAACTACCTGGCACTTGGAATGACTATTCTTTGCTACATGCCGAGAGGTGTCCACTTAAAAGCTTGTGAGTCGGAGAAACAGAGCCACAGCATTGTCACAGGACTTGGTCTGAGCCTTTGCCAAGTGCATCTCAGCTGCAAAGTATGTGCTGCTGGATGGTTCCAGTTGGAACCTACAGTGAGCCTCAAACAAAAGTAACTAAATGTTTTTGTGGATTGTGGCATATGACATATGTTGGTAGTTACAGCTGATCAATCACATTGTCACCTGTTTCATTTTGTTTCTCCATCCAGTTGTTCCTGTCGTTCTAGCCTGGAAGTTGGATGAAACATCTGGTTCAATTCTCACCCAATCACATCCGATCACTCTGTCACTCGGCCCTGCACCAGGTGACTTGCCGAACGTGTCAAAGCACCTTCCCCCCTGACGCCAACTTCTGCCGGAAGTGCGGCTGCTCCCGGCGGAGCGCACTCGGGCCGGTTCCGCCGGGCGAGCGCGGCGAGCGCGAGCGGTCTCCAAGCTCACAGGCCGGGGATGGCTGGAGAGATGTGGAAAGATCTTTGGTGCAGGAAAAGAAAAGAATGGTGGGAAATGTACGGAATGTGCGCGCATATGACGGTACAATCAAGTGTTATGTGGCGATTTTACGGCCAATTCATATGACTGTCCTGAGGAGTATGCTGAGGAGAGCATTGTTGGTGGGGTAGGAGATCAACAGCAGCGTGTAACAAGCGGCTCCATGGCACCCTAATGTAGACTCTTGATTAATAACTCCCCCCGTATTATGAGGTTGTTCAATTCAAATGGAGGGAGTTATTAATCAGGACTCCCACAGATTTGACCATCTCTTGTGGCGCTTTCGAACTGGTGTCAAGGCAATCAGGCTTGGCTCGTCTCCAAGGGGATTCTCGTGCCTTGGGCCGAAGGGGATTCGGCATCGATGTGTGTGTGTGTGTGTTTTTGACATGGTGTGTGTTTTTGTTCCATCTATTTGACACGTGTCTTAATTGTACTGAAAAAGGTGTGGAAACACCCTTGTACTGAAGTTGGAGCAAACGCAAGTGAGCTTGGGCTAGTTTGCTACCACGTTGGTGAACCTTGGGTTGGTGCTGCTGGTTGCTGTTGCACTGCTCATGTGGGGTCATCCTACCCACCCAACGGTCCAGCTTGAGAAGAATGAGAAAAGGGTTAGCCGGGTGAGGGTGATTTTTTGAAGAAACTCTGGGGCGGAGTGATTGACCAGTCAAGAGGCCGGACATCCCGGATGGTTGCACGGCACAGAGATGTGATCCTGCAACCGCCGATTCTTTCGAAAGAGCACTTCTCTTCTTAGAGTTGGGTTCTCATTGCATTTAATTTGCAAAAGCATTGACTTCATGTCTCAGTGCCGTTGGACATGCTTCATGTGGCGAGAAGCAATCCTGGACAGCCAACTGAGGTGGCAATTGAGATGAGGCTCCCTTCTCTGAGCACCGAAAGACCGACTGCTCAAGCCGCCAAACGGTGGCCTGAAGACAAAAGCTCTCTCGCTGTGGTATATGCCAGATCGGAGCATCTTGGATCAGGGGCAGTCATACGAAGACAACATTCAGCAACAAAAAGCACCTCCAACCTAAGAGTGCAGGCCTCCAATGCTTGATACCGAGCCTTGAGCAAATCCGTCTGTCAGCATCGATGATCCAAGTAAGCTCCCTTCGCACCTTGGACGACCTTGGATCAAAGTCATGGGTGCGTGGCGGCAACAAATCAGCCAAAGTCAATCCACCTTCTGAGTGTTGTCCGGCAGTGTGGACCATGTGTGCATGATGCTACTTGGGGTAAGGCAATCGATTTCAATAATGATGTTGTTTTGTCTTATACTAGAGTCACTAGAGTTGGATGTGTGCAGATGTTTCTTGGACACCAGCATGCAAAGACACGATCACATGGCCTCTTTGTACAGCCGAATCCAAGAGAAAGGGCGGGCCAACGTAGCGTAGGTCCAACGTAGCGCGTCCGTGTCCGATGTCCAAAGATGGGGGCGCTGTCTTGACTCCCGAAACCTCTTAGATAAGCTCATGGGACTGGGGCGAATATAGATACCTAAGCCCGGCACCTGGAAGCAAAAGTCTAGCAACCTATTGGTGCACAAAGACCTTCATGTGCTACGTGGAGCTATTGACCTAGGTTTGAAGACAATTTGAATCGCAAGACAAGCTTCCGAGCTTGTTCAAGCCACGTGGCGCCTTGTGACATAGGGTTCCTGAACCCAAGCCATTTATGCTTGCCTCCCAGCCCTATGGAGAAGACTGAGTTGTGCTTTTCTTCAGTTCCCCATCTGG